ACAGCACCTAGAGCAGGCATGGATAGGCGCTATATAAATATTTATTTATTATTATTATTATTATTATTATTATTATTATTACTATTATCATCATCATCTTATGTCACTTTAGCTGAGACAATAATTTCCATGGGTGGCTGTTAACTAATGGGTGCATTTTGTCTCCAGCTCCAGTCTGCCACTGATTGAAGGGATCATTGTGTTACTGTTGACAGTTGTCAATCTTACCTTGTGTGCTCGAGAGGAGAGACTGAGAAGAACAGAGATGGTCAGAAGTGCCCAGGATCTGTTGAGCAATTGTGATGGTGAGCAAAAATCTCTCTTGTTGAAGACTTCAATATTATTATTATTCCTTGCAGGTACCTCAACAGGTTCAATTTTCAAATGCATGCGAGGAACTTTAATTAACATTTATCTGTTGTCCTTCAAGAACTTTGAAAATTTTATTTTAACACTGAACAGCTCGCCCACTGCAATCATAATCAAACAGTACTGTACATGTACTTGATGCTGTTTTCCAATAACCTGAACTTAGTTTAATAGCCTTCACTCCCACAAGTCTCCTAGCTGGTTGCTCTGTGGTGGAGCATCTGGACTAGTATCCAAAAGGTTTTAGTTTCGACTCCTAAATGGAGAATACAGAATTCTTTCTCCGAGGATGCCTGTGTCACTGACAGAAAAATCTTCTTCTCAATTGCTCTTTAATGATACAAAGATGGTAATTGTTCTAAATTCTGTTCAATAGTTGACTGAGTCCCAACAGGAGTTAAACACTTAACCTTCTGCACTGAGTGTTGTAATGTACTAAGGATTTTGGTGAGGATTATTCGTATTACTAAAACTAGCCTGCAACTGTAGCCCAGGGCCAGGTTATTTGAAAGCTGGCTAATGCCAACCCAGGATTAAAAGTTAACCATAGTATTAATTTTTCCTGTCTAAAAATGTTCTTTCACTGCTTATGTCCTGTGTATTGAGATTATCCAAACTCGAAACTGAAGGACAAACAATTTAAACAGAAAACCTCATGGAAAAGTTACAAAACTGAAATCAAAATTCTTGCTAACCTGGGTTAGCTTAATTGGGCTTTGAACAACCCGTCCAAGAAGGTCTGTTGTATAGATAGGAGTGTTCATGTTATTGCTTGGTGAGCACTCAAGATCATGTACCAATTCCCAAAGGTCTTACCTTAACTTTTATTAATACAAATGATGCAAAATATGTGTAAAAATGCAGACTAGCTGACACATTTTGTAATTAAAGCTGCTTTATGATCCATGCAGTTTACAGACTGTTAGACTGCTTCTGGTTCATACAAATACATTGTCCAATAATTGCATCTCATTAACTTTATTGATTGTTTGTACAGTTCATAAAAGCAGTTTTAGGTCCTTGATTTACAGATGATTGTTGACTTCCTTATCTGTAGCTTGTTGCAGCTGGATGCCATCAGATTACGTCGATCCCTGCACCCCTCCCTCACCGTCCATCTCGCTGGTGCACGCCTACAGAGATAGTGAACTGGTCAGTGTTCCATGCAATCTTCTTGTTCAGGGTGATGTTGTGATACTAGGACCAGGTCATCAGGCACCTGCACAAGTGCAACAGGTAAACACTGATCTTTCTAGCTTTGTCTGTAATAAGAAAACTTGAATTCCTGTGCAAGGTTCAGAAAGCCTGTACTGCAGTGCACATTGCTAGGTTTGTACAACTTGTTTTACAAGAGGACTACAAAGTACATAAAGTTGTATACTAGAACATTGTACACTGTGTAAATGTGCTAATGGCACATTGTAGCTGTGCCAAGGGCAATATTATTGCTTCAAGTCATGCTGTGTAATGTGATGATTTTGCCCATAACACGGTGTGTTATCTAAGACAAGTGTATGAAGGATTGTAATATTGCAACACTCCAGTTAGCATAGAACACTCCAATACAACATTTAGTGAATAGCTAGAATTGTTGCTATTCCCCTTTAGGTTTTGGCTAGACAACACAAACCAGATTTGGCTTGGATTAGTTACTGTATATGCTTGCATTGTGATTTAAATTTGGCTTGGGTTAAAACTTTTAAAACCAACAGGTGTGACCTTTATATTCCTTTATTTCATTTCCATGTTTCTAATCTACATGTAAATCGAACCACGACATTCATGTATAGTAATTAAGTGTTACCAGCTGTTAATAATTAAATATGATAAATTTCTTTAAATTCTTTTTCATAGTAATTTGTTTCTTGTTAAGCTTGTATGTACTAATATTAAATTTCTTTGTTATATACTCGTAACTCAATAAGTTTGCTTTCATAATTATAACAAGCTTTCCTCAGAATTACCAAGCAAAGGATCTTTACATGTTCTTGAAGAGGGTCAGGTTTTTCATCCCATAACACAAACTACATCTGGTAAGTTTAATGATTCAGCTATGGAAGCTCAGTATCTTTGATGATAAGTACTCGACGGCTGCCTTACAGGAAAGCAGTGAGTGTTGATGTTTCTCAAGAAGTGTGAAGGGAAGCAAAACTCAATATCTCCTCAGGGTCTGTCATCTCGTTATACCTCTAAACTGATATAAAATATTCTTGTTAATGCAAAGTTCAATCACCATCCAGGGCAGGAAAAAAAATTGAAATCCACTGGTCCAGTGAGCCAGTACATTTCGGTTTTCAGTTGCTCCCACTAAAATGTTACTTGGCCAATAGGTGCACAATGTTCATGCCTCATCAATTACATCATTTACTTGGTAATTGCTTTTGATTTTATTGGAAATTATCACTAACAAGACTACTGAGGCTAATTTCACTTGCCCACTGGACAACCAAACTTCCACTGTCACTTGCCCAAGAGCAAAATTTACTTGCCCCGGGCAATCAGACCTGGTCTTTTTCCTGCCCTGCCATCTGTCTGGTCAATGAGACATGCTCAGAAATTTGCTGAGGTCAAGATGCATGACCTGCTGACATGTTAGTCAAGGGCTCAAGCTGCTGTTGTGCAACTGAATTTAAGCTGTATGGGCCTTTTTTTAAAAATATATATATATAAAAAAAAGGTTTTTAACTATACAATAGCTTTATCATTGAACTGCATGTAACTGTTGAAGTGTCAAAATTGTCAAGGCTACCTTTGCAAAATAATGTGTCTGCAAAGTAAAACACAACCTTATGAAATAATTGTTCATGTTTTTATGTTACTTCCCAGCTGAGAGTAGCAAAGGAACTGGCATACAATCATCCCAGCCTCACCCACGAGAGAAGTTCCTTGTTACAGAAACACCTTTTAAACTAAGTCTAAGGTACAATTAGTAACAAACCAGTAACATGTGACAACATTTAATGTACTAATGTATGATAAATGAGTTTTACACTACTGGATTAACTAGAAGAACTCTGAATTATCAGAATTACAGATTTGTAATGGCTGCAAAGAAAAGAACTTACAGGGATTTCAGTAATGTCTGGGTTTATCACAACCCCTTCAATTTAATCTATATGTATGTATTGTTAATAAATTTATTAGTTCTGAGTTGAAGGCAGGAGAAACATCCAATTGGCACTCACTAACCACACCTGATTTCTGTCAGTCCTTCCATCAACCTTATAAAATACCAGCTACAAGCCTGGGCAGAGTAAGTAGATAAACAATTGAAAAATACCTTATGTACATGTACATATTTTCCTGTTATATTAGCTAAAATCCAAATTGTTGCTAAATGAATGATGGTATTCCCTCTCTCCTTTTGTAATGTTGTTTTGGGTAACACAATAATTGTATGCATTATGTATTGGTTTTCAGACCAAAACAACACCAATCTCATCATCTTTTAGTGATGAAATTATTCATAAATTTTCAACACAGTTGAAATTCAGTCTCTAAAAAGAAGTCTACACACCCTCTTTCTTGTCTTTCCCATGCCCCCACCCTCCAGTATTTTGGCTTGTCCTTATCCCCCAAGGTAAAAATTGTGCCTGCAATCTAGATGAACTCAAGACAAGACAACATAGAGGGTGTGTGGGCACACTTTTAATGTGTAGCACAGGTATATTGCAGTAGATGTAGTCAGAGTTGATTTCTTTAATCTTTTGACAGAAAAATTTTGGAAAACTCTTTGAAGAGGCCAATAAGCATTGTTGGAAATGAAATGCATTACATTACTAGCACTATTATAGACAAGAAACTACTCTTTGTAATTTTGGTAAGTTTCCTTGTATGTTTGTTTAGTTTTTGTTATACGATAATGTGGCAAAGCAGACAGACATCTTGTTGAATGCTCAGATCCTGCTCCTGTATTAAAATAATAACAAAAACGTCTTAGAATCAAGCTGTAATTGTTTTTGAGTTAACGACATGTTAATAATTTTTATTTTATTAAATAGTAATTTTTGTTGCTTTTTCATGTAACCATTACATGAACATGTTAGGTACTGGTAAAATATTAATTACTATTATTAATAATAAGGACTGTATGTATGAAAATGTTCTTTCACACTTTAGAAGTGAGGTACTTGCTTTGATTTATATTCACTTGGATTGCACAACTCCTAAAGGCCCAAAAATCACACCAAATGAACCACCCAAAACAGAAAAGAGTGCTAAGGAAGATAGAAGAGTAGAAAGAAAACAAAGTACTGACATTCCTTTGAATTTTTATGTCCTTGACTTAAGTATCTTGGAGTAAAAAATGCTTACACCAAAACGTTCTTTAACACAGTTTTCATAAATCCATACATATATTTGATAAATTTGATAGTTGGTCTACCTCATACATCCTTACTATTCTGTTTTATACTAACATTGTTTAATTGTATGTCTTTTTTAAGGTGTCTTCTTTTACAGTTAATATTCTGAGAACAATTTTCCTTAAAAATGACTCTGGCCATTGGAGTGAAATGATTCTTTTACTGCAGGTGAGTCTTAGCAAGTGAAATCGAGAGATTGTCTCATCAGCATGGGTGGGTGGGTGGGTCATGGTTGTGGGTTGTGGGTCTTGTGTGAAGATAATGCAAGATTTTATCACATGTTCAAATGATCCAGATGACGAACAGTGCATTATTTTGTTCCTGTCAGCATGATATAAATCAAATGGTGAGGCTATTTTTTTGTCTGAATGAAAATAATCGGAAAAGTGTGACATCATTGTATCACTTGGATAGTCTGCATTTAATATGGTGAATACCTTTATTACTTCTTGGTTCACATTCCTTTACAGGGATATGCCGTGTTGCCACTCCTTCCAATTTCTTTTCCAATTGTCTGGATTTGTTTAAATCTTTATGGAACAGCTAGAATCAAAGTCTTATTCACTTTTTTAAAAGAAAAAGAAAAGGTAAGGGCAGCTTTCTGGAGATTTTGGCACCAAAATTCTTGATGATACATTGCTGTAAAATTTTAGAAGACTGAGTGCTTGAAGAAATAAAAATTGCTTGGTTTCCAAGAATTTATTGATTAGTCATTGATCAGCTTGATATACATGTAATTATAGAGGAATTACACAAGGGCACAAAAATATGGATTTTACCGGTGTTTTTGAGATGTAGAAACACTATTTTATGAATGAGCACAGCAAGTGAGTAAAATATTTTTTTTTATACAATAGAATCAAATCCATATCTTCAAGCTACTGTGTAATTTTCTTTTTTATTATTATATAGAATGGCTTATTAGACTTTTTGTCATTTTTAGCTTACAATATAAAGCATGATGTCATAAGCATGTACTGGTACTCTCAGAACTGACATTTAAAGTTCTGCTGGATTGGATTTTCTTCAAATGAAAAAACTTTTAAATATAGTAATGTTTCTCAATTGCTTAAAATAAGAAGTAAACTTGACAGGCAAATACTCTGATGAAGGTAGCATGTCATCCACTCAATGGGTAAAGCCTTACAAGCAAAAATGGCAAATGCTAGTAAAATATTTAACTGTTTTTTTTTCTAATGTTAGCCAACAAATGAGATATCTCTGCAAGAAGTGTTCCATTGCTTTTGGAAAAATTTACTGGGAGATCCATCAAGTTTACCAAGAACAGCTAACCTTTTAGAAATCCTTGGAAGTGTTACCGTGAGTGTTTCCATTGTTTTTTCTCTAACTATAAATACTACAACTGTAATATAGTCAGACTACTACTATAATATAGTCAGACCTTTTTAAGTCAACATTGCAACTTTATGTACTTTACTTTCGGAGTGTTGTTGAAAGTTTGCAAGTTCTCTTCTCAAATTCATAAAAATAGTTCATCAAGTTTAAATAAGTAATAATAACAAGGTTTATATTAAACTATAAAAGAAAGACTTGGAAAGGTGACTGATTTTGACCACTTTTCCAAACACCTGGTCCGGGATGTCCGAAAGGCGGATAACAATATCCACCAGATAAATCATTATCCAGTGGATAACGTGGTTTGTTTTGCTAACATTTACCCAGTGGATAGCAATTTATCTGATGGATAACGTTATCCAGCCTTCTAACAACTAGGGCCAGGCGGTTTGTCAGAGATACTTCCCTGCATGTTCTATTTTCAACTCTCTTCTCGGTCACTGTTTGGAAATGTGGTCAAACATGATTTGAACTGTTGTAAACTCAAAGTGGCCAATCTTGTTCTACCTTATATTTTCTGACTTATGTAATCTATTAATTACATTTGGCCTCTGCAGAACCTTCCTTGAGTGGCCACCACCTTAATGAAATGACCATGCATGAAGCTTTTAGAGGTCAAATTTTCTCTTGCACAGACCAGTTACCACAGACTAGAAAAACCTGGTAGTCATGAGTGTCCCTTGTATTCAGCCCCACTGCCTATTGGATGCTTCAATGATTTAAATTCCATTGGAGAGAGATTTCATTGAAATAGTTCTTTTTAACTTAAGGTGTGGTGTTGTGTGGACAAAGAAGGGATACTCTCACTACCCAATCCCTGTGCAGAGAAGGTGTTCTTCCTAAAGAGTCGAAAGCAAAGATTAAAGGAAGAGTTAGCTGGTCAGGTGAAGGAGAGAAAAGAGAGTGTCTGCACTTGGACAAGTGAAACAAGCAGAGTGTCGTCAAGTCAGGATGGCCAAGAATCAATATCTGATGATGAGGATGATGATGATGATATTTCTGCATCTGTTGATGACTCAGAATCTGTTGGTAAGATTTATTATTCACCTGCTGGAAGCATCGTTACCAAAGACCAAGTAGTGCCTAAAAAGAAGCCTATAGCAAGGCTGTGGTCTAAAATTATGAGGAGCCCAAAGGTTCCTGAAATCCTGGTTGTCCAGCACTTAAGCTTATATGAAAAAAGTATTCTAAGTTTTCCAGTTGTCCAAAGGCAAAAGTTAGTCACCTGTGGCGGCCAGGTGTCCCTAGAGAAGAGCCCTGCCTTTAGAGACTACAGACAAGAAATATTCAGTTCAGGTCCTATTTGCATACTGGATGTAAAAATGAATTGTGTTTAATTTTTTTCATTTTTCCCTTTTCTCTCCTGGATTTTAGAAGACAATTGGAATAACTGTTTTAAAGGTCACAGAGAAGTGTTAAATTTGTCCTCTGATCCTGAGGTGTGTTTAAAGTAGGCTAAGTAAATGGGCATCTCTTGATAATCAGTATCTTTAAATAAATATAGTTTCCCTGCCTGGGAGAGGTTCAACCCCAAAAAAATTGATGCTGACGATCTGACTGTTTCCCTAGTTGATATGCTGCATCCAGCCAAAAGATAAGCAGGTTTATGATATGGCTAGCTCTCCAAATCAAATCCTGCACTGAGACTAGCTACCTTAGTGGGGAAATAAGTGCTTAGGGTTAGGGTTAGGGTTATGCCGTGTAATACATCCTTTATCGACCAGGCTTATTTGGTGGCTGGACACTGGCCTTGTTCTTTTCTAGCGTGTTAATGGACTTAAACTATGTCTTGGTCCATCACCCAGTTATCTTGACCTTACACATGGCCATAACTAATCTATACACCTGTCTAGGACCTGCTACAAATACCTGTGAGGGGGTGACAGTGTTTTGGGAAGACTGGATAAATTGTTGATATTCATGTGAAAAATCACATGGATAATCAAACAGAGAGGATAACTGAAGTTTTCCTGAAAGAATTTTTGTTAAGTAAAAGTGAAAGGAGTTAAGCATAGCCACTCATACATTCATTTCTGTTGTTTGAGATATAGCTGTAGTTATATGAAGTGGTTTACTTAGTTTTGAAGTGTTGGAATATATATATATTTTTAAATGGTTTTTTATTTATATTTTCTGATTGCTTTTGTCATATTCATTGCCATAACAACTTAAGTTTCAAACAAAGGAGAATAAAAATTAAACACTTCAAATCAAAATCTGGTTTAAATTATAGCTTCTGCAACTTCTTTTGAATTGTAGAGTCAGTTTGGGCTGAGATTTGATGATGTGAGATGGCAGAATCATATCAACTCACTCAAACCCCTGGTAAGTCCCTTGCATTATGTGGAAGTGTTGCTCACAAAACATAATATTTATGGCCAGCAAGCTTCATGCTTGGACCATAAATCAAAAAATTAAACGTAGTTTATATGTATCTACAGTACTCTATGTAGTAATGATAATACCAGATGTAATATTACATTTAATATTATCATTACCACACACTGTAGATACATATCAACTATGTTTAATTTTTTATTGATTTATGGTCCAAGCATGAAGTTAGCTTACTGGTCGTAAATATTATTGATAGGAAAAAATGATGATCCATATCTCACATTATGGATACAAGATGTTTATCATATCTCTCACCCTGGAAAGAGGAAAACATCAAGTGCACAGGAGGTGGCTTGGTGTATTGGTCATAAGTTGACCAGTACACCAAGCTATTTTCCCTATCAATAAACTGATAGGAAAAAACAAAATCCATGTCCTGGGGTGGATCTAAGGGTGGTTTGGGGGTTGGGTTGAACCCCTAAATTAAAAAAAGTGAGACATTACAATATGCCGGCTTACTGAAATCCCATTTCCATGAACCTCAATTTTACAAATTTGCCAGGGAAAGATGCCTCCAGAAAAAACCACCTTTGGCGGCCCATAATTATATCTCAAACCCCCTTCTATAAGATCTGGTATCTACCCCAGATATCTTACAGTATGGATTTAAGATGTTTATCTCTCTCACCCTTGAAAGACGAAAACAGCAAGTGCACAGGAAGCGGCTTGGTGTAATATAGAACATTGCACATGAAATTAACCAATCACAGCACACATACTGCCTGGAAGATTTAGTAATACATGGTATCATTTGCCAGTGTACTGTTTTTGGTTAAAGAAATATTTATCCTGAGCAAATATCAAGGAGAAACATTGATAATGATTACAACCTTTTTTCTTTCTTTCAGGGCCTAAATATCCTACTTAATTCATGTTGCAAATCTCCTGTGAGATGTCTACGGTTTGCTGACCACACTGGTCTTCTGTCCCTTTCATACAATTCAGTTCCTTTGCCTTCTTACAGAAGGTATTCTTTTGTTAAAATAATAATGATTATATATCTTTTGTTCAAATGTGGGGTATATTTATTGTTGGGGTATATATTTAGTTCTTAAATTGTGCTAACTGGGGAAAGTGTAAATCACTAAACAAAATAATGCAATTACAACTCCTAACTGTTGGAAGGCTTACCAGTTGGCTTTTTTACAAAACTTGGCTAAGAAGTTGAATTGTGGTTCTCCAAGATCAAATCTAGTTAAACAAGGACAGAGAATTTCATCTAGGGGCCTCCAGATTTCTNAGACAGACATCTTGTTGAATGCTCAGATCCTGCTCCTGTATTAAAATAATAACAAAAACGTCTTAGAATCAAGCTGTAAATGTTTTTGAGTTAACGACATGTTAATAATTTTTATTTTATTAAATAGTAATTTTTGTTGCTTTTTCATGTAACCATTACATGAACATGTTAGGTACTGGTAAAATATTAATTACTATTATTAATAATAAGGACTGTATGTATGAAAATGTTCTTTCACACTTTAGAAGTGAGGTACTTGCTTTGATTTATATTCACTTGGATTGCACAACTCCTAAAGGCCCAAAAATCACACCAAATGAACCACCCAAAACAGAAAAGAGTGCTAAGGAAGATAGAAGAGTAGAAAGAAAACAAAGTACTGACATTCCTTTGAATTTTTATGTCCTTGACTTAAGTATCTTGGAGTAAAAAATGCTTACACCAAAACGTTCTTTAACACAGTTTTCATAAATCCATACATATATTTGATAAATTTGATAGTTGGTCTACCTCATACATCCTTACTATTCTGTTTTATACTAACATTGTTTAATTGTATGTCTTTTTTAAGGTGTCTTCTTTTACAGTTAATATTCTGAGAACAATTTTCCTTAAAAATGACTCTGGCCATTGGAGTGAAATGATTCTTTTACTGCAGGTGAGTCTTAGCAAGTGAAATCGAGAGATTGTCTCATCATCATGGGTGGGTGGGTGGGTCATGGTTGTGGGTTGTGGGTCTTGTGTGAAGATAATGCAAGATTTTATCACATGTTCAAATGATCCAGATGACGAACAGTGCATTATTTTGTTCCTGTCAGCATGATATAAATCAAATGGTGAGGCTATTTTTTTGTCTGAATGAAAATAATCGGAAAAGTGTGACATCATTGTATCACTTGGATAGTCTGCATTTAATATGGTGAATACCTTTATTACTTCTTGGTTCACATTCCTTTACAGGGATATGCCGTGTTGCCACTCCTTCCAATTTCTTTTCCAATTGTCTGGATTTGTTTAAATCTTTATGGAACAGCTAGAATCAAAGTCTTATTCACTTTTTTAAAAGAAAAAGAAAAGGTAAGGGCAGCTTTCTGGAGATTTTGGCACCAAAATTCTTGATGATACATTGCTGTAAAATTTTAGAAGACTGAGTGCTTGAAGAAATAAAAATTGCTTGGTTTCCAAGAATTTATTGATTAGTCATTGATCAGCTTGATATACATGTAATTATAGAGGAATTACACAAGGGCACAAAAATATGGATTTTACCAGTATTTTTGAGATGTAGAAACACTATTTTATGAATGAGCACAGCAAGTGAGTAAAATATTGTTTTTTACACAATAAAATCAAATCCATATCTTTAAGCTACTGTGTAATTTTCTTTTTTATTATATAGAAAGGCTTATTAGACTTTTTGTCATTTTTAGCTTACAATATAAAGCATGATGTCATAAGCATGTACTGGTACTCTCAGAACTGACATTTAAAGTTCTGCTGGATTGGATTTTCTTCAAATGAAAAAACTTTTAATATAGTAATGTTTCTCAATTGCTTAAAATAAGAAGTAAACTTGACAGGCAAATACTCTGATGAAGGTAGCATGTCATCCACTCAATGGGTAAAGCCTTACAAGCAAAAATGGCAAATGCTAGTAAAATATTTAACTGTTTTTTTTTCTAATGTTAGCCAACAAATGAGATATCTCTGCAAGAAGTGTTCCATTGCTTTTGGAAAAATTTACTGGGAGATCCATCAAGTTTACCAAGAACAGCTAACCTTTTAGAAATCCTTGGAAGTGTTACCGTGAGTGTTTCCATTGTTTTTTCTCTAACTATAAATACTACAACTGTAATATAGTCAGACTACTACTATAATATAGTCAGACCTTTTTAAGTCAACATTGCAACTTTATGTACTTTACTTTCGGAGTGTTGTTGAAAGTTTGCAAGTTCTCTTCTCAAATTCATAAAAATAGTTCATCAAGTTTAAATAAGTAATAATAACAAGGTTTATATTAAACTATAAAAGAAAGACTTGGAAAGGTGACTGATTTTGACCACTTTTCCAAACACCTGGTCCGGGATGTCCGAAAGGCGGATAACAATATCCACCAGATAAATCATTATCCAGTGGATAACGTGGTTTGTTTTGCTAACATTTACCCAGTGGATAGCAATTTATCTGATGGATAACGTTATCCAGCCTTCTAACAACTAGGGCCAGGCGGTTTGTCAGAGATACTTCCCTGCATGTTCTATTTTCAACTCTCTTCTCGGTCACTGTTTGGAAATGTGGTCAAACATGATTTGAACTGTTGTAAACTCAAAGTGGCCAATCTTGTTCTACCTTATATTTTCTGACTTATGTAATCTATTAATTACATTTGGCCTCTGCAGAACCTTCCTTGAGTGGCCACCACCTTAATGAAATGACCATGCATGAAGCTTTTAGAGGTCAAATTTTCTCTTGCACAGACCAGTTACCACAGACTAGAAAAACTTGGTAGTCATGAGTGTCCCTTGTATTCAGCCCCACTGCCTATTGGATGCTTCAATGATTTAAATTCCATTGGAGAGAGATTTCATTGAAATAGTTCTTTTTAACTTAAGGTGTGGTGTTGTGTGGACAAAGAAGGGATACTCTCACTACCCAATCCCTGTGCAGAGAAGGTGTTCTTCCTAAAGAGTCGAAAGCAAAGATTAAAGGAAGAGTTAGCTGGTCAGGTGAAGGAGAGAAAAGAGAGTGTCTGCACTTGGACAAGCGAAACAAGCAGAGTGTCGTCAAGTCAGGATGGCCAAGAATCGATATCTGATGATGAGGATGATGATGATGATATTTCTGCATCTGTTGATGACTCAGAATCTGTTGGTAAGATTTATTATTCACCTGCTGGAAGCATCGTTACCAAAGACCAAGTAGTGCCTAAAAAGAAGCCTATAGCAAGGCTGTGGTCTAAAATTATGAGGAGCCCAAAGGTTCCTGAAATCCTGGTTGTCCAGCACTTAAGCTTATATGAAAAAAGTATTCTAAGTTTTCCAGTTGTCCAAAGGCAAAAGTTAGTCACCTGTGGCGGCCAGGTGTCCCTAGAGAACAGCCCTGCCTTTAGAGACTACAGACAAGAAATATTCAGTTCAGGTCCTATTTGCATACTGGATGTAAAAATGAATTGTGTTTAATTTTTTTCATTTTTCCCTTTTCTCTCCTGGATTTTAGAAGACAATTGGAATAACTGTTTTAAAGGTCACAGAGAAGTGTTAAATTTGTCCTCTGATCCTGAGGTGTGTTTAAAGTAGGCTAAGTAAATGGGCATCTCTTGATAATCAGTATCTTTAAATAAATATAGTTTCCCTGCCTGGGAGAGGTTCAACCCCAAAAAAATTGATGCTGACGATCTGACTGTTTCCCTAGTTGATATGCTGCATCCAGCCAAAAGATAAGCAGGTTTATGATATGGCTAGCTCTCCAAATCAAATCCTGCACTGAGACTAGCTACCTTAGTGGGGAAATAAGTGCTTAGGGTTAGGGTTAGGGTTATGCCGTGTAATACATCCTTTATCGACCAGGCTTATTTGGTGGCTGGACACTGGCCTTGTTCTTTTCTAGCGTGTTAATGGACTTAAACTATGTCTTGGTCCATCACCCAGTTATCTTGACCTTACACATGGCCATAACTAATCTATACACCTGTCTAGGACCTGCTACAAATACCTGTGAGGGGGTGACAGTGTTTTGGGAAGACTGGATCATAAATTGTTGATATTCATGTGAAAAATCACATGGATAATCAAACAGAGAGGATAACCGAGGTTTTCCTGAAAGAATTTTTGTTAAGTAAAAGTGAAAGGAGTTAAGCATAGCCACTCATACATTCATTTCTGTTGTTTGAGATATAGCTGTAGTTATATGAAGTGGTTTACTTAGTTTTGAAGTGTTGGAATATATATATATTTTTAAATGGTTTTTTATTTATATTTTCTGATTGCTTTTGTCATATTCATTGCCATAACAACTTAAGTTTCAAACAAAGGAGAATAAAAATTAAACACTTCAAATCAAAATCTGGTTTAAATTATAGCTTCTGCAACTTCTTTTGAATTGTAGAGTCAGTTTGGGCTGAGATTTGATGATGTGAGATGGCAGAATCATATCAACTCACTCAAACCCCTGGTAAGTCCCTTGCATTATGTGGAAGTGTTGCTCACAAAACATAATATTTATGGCCAGCAAGCTTCATGCTTGGACCATAAATCAAAAAATTAAACGTAGTTTATATGTATCTACAGTACTCTATGTAGTAATGATAATACCAGATGTAATATTACATTTAATATTATCATTACCACACACTGTAGATACATATCAACTATGTTTAATTTTTTATTGATTTATGGTCCAAGCATGAAGTTAGCTTACTGGTCGTAAATATTATTGATAGGAAAAAATGATGATCCATATCTCACATTATGGATACAAGATGTTTATCATATCTCTCACCCTGGAAAGAGGAAAACATCAAGTGCACAGGAGGTGGCTTGGTGTATTGGTCATAAGTTGACCAGTACACCAAGCTATTTTCCCTATCAATAAACTGATAGGAAAAAACAAAATCCATGTCCTGGGGTGGATCTAAGGGTGGTTTGGGGGTTGGGTTGAACCCCTAAATTAAAAAAAGTGAGACATTACAATATGCCGGCTTACTGAAATCCCATTTCCATGAACCTCAATTTTACAAATTTGCCAGGGAAAGATGCCTCCAGAAAAAACCACCTTTGGCGGCCCATAATTATATCTCAAACCCCCTTCTATAAGATCTGGTATCTACCCCAGATATCTTACAGTATGGATTTAAGATGTTTATCTCTCTCACCCTTGAAAGACGAAAACAGCAAGTGCACAGGAAGCGGCTTGGTGTAATATAGAACATTGCACATGAAATTAACCAATCACAGCACACATACTGCCTGGAAGATTTAGTAATACATGGTATCATTTGCCAGTGTACTGTTTTTGGTTAAAGAAATATTTATCCTGAGCAAATATCAAGGAGAAACATTGATAATGATTACAACCTTTTTTCTTTCTTTCAGGGCCTAAATATCCTACTTAATTCATGTTGCAAATCTCCTGTGAGATGTCTACGGTTTGCTGACCACACTGGTCTTCTGTCCCTTTCATACAATTCAGTTCCTTTGCCTTCTTACAGAAGGTATTCTTTTGTTAAAATAATAATGATTATATATCTTTTGTTCAAATGTGGGGTATATTTATTGTTGGGGTATATATTTAGTTCTTAAATTGTGCTAACTGGGGAAAGTGTAAATCACTAAACAAAATAATGCAATTACAACTCCTAACTGTTGGAAGGCTTACCAGTTGGCTTTTTTACAAAACTTGGCTAAGAAGTTGAATTGTGGTTCTCCAAGATCAAATCTAGTTAAACAAGGACAGAGAATTTCATCTAGGGGCCTCCAGATTTCTAGTGCAATGTCCTACATTCATTTTCTTTGTTTCTTTACATGTATAATGCATAAAACAGGTGTTTTCTTTTGGTTTTGTTACCTTGTGACTTTCTAGATGCCTTTGTCTTCTTGGCAAAGAAATAGGGTTCATGGAACGTGCACTACAGCTCTTCAACAAACAAAAGTACATCTTTGCTGTGCAGTCACCTATTGTAAGTAGAGTCTTGTAGCTTGTTGTATAGCAGAAATGTTAGGAGGTAAAGGAAACGTTTGCTGTCCTGCCAAAGTGACCCACACAGCCAGAGCTTGTCTCAGTTTCCTCAACACTCAGTGACTAGCAGTATTGGACAGATGCTAATTTATTGCAGATATCCCCTTTCCCTAATGTTTTGTTAGGTCACCAAACAGTTTGCCAGTACGTACCCAATTACATTTCTGGGTGGGGAGGTGCCCTCATGGCGATAAGAGGAAAGTGTCAAGTCCAAAAATGCAACACATTGACCCTGTCCAACATGTAAATATGACTGACTTGATTCAAAGTGCAAGTGCCAAACAATAGGCCACTGCATCTCTCATAATTATACCAAAAAATGATTCAACAACAGCAACAACAACAACATCTTTTTTTTCTCAATACAATAACAAACGTTAGGTTTTTGAATTAGCCTCCAGCCCACTTATGTCTTTTTGTAGGACAGGAGGGACAAAGAATGAATTTACAGTTCACATTTGATTGACTAATTTCAACGCGTATTGCTCTGACAGTAAATTATGTTTTATTGTTTTTGAAAAAGCAAATATGCTATGATCTTTGAAATGGGTTGTTGAGTTGTGGTTAGTTGTGTTTTGTTATGCTTATTTGTTCTTAGTTGTGCATAATTGTGCTTAGTTGTGCTTAGTTGCCTTCAACTAATGTTTTCGAGAGTTGTTTTTGTCAATGATGTAGGAATAGTTATAGTCTGCTGGAAATTTCCTATAGCTTTGTAAGAATTATTGCTTTCTATTTTTCTCTTACAGAACTCCACTTTCAGAGTTCCCATTCACTCTCACTCATTCTTATCCATTTCAAAAGAAAAGCCAATACCAAACATGATCTGCCTCATTACCAAGGAGGAGCACTCTGGTAGGTTGCTGTGGTAATGAATGGATAAATATATAACTTATCATAAACTTTGTCTTTTAATTTCAAGTACAGAGACTATGATTAACAAGAATCTGGGGCCAGATGAACGATGCTCCCCTAANAGACAGACATCTTGTTGAATGCTCAGATCCTGCTCCTGTATTAAAATAATAACAAAAACGTCTTAGAATCAAGCTGTAAATGTTTTTGAGTTAACGACATGTTAATAATTTTTATTTTATTAAATAGTAATTTTTGTTGCTTTTTCATGTAACCATTACATGAACATGTTAGGTACTGGTAAAATATTAATTACTATTATTAATAATAAGGACTGTATGTATGAAAATGTTCTTTCACACTTTAGAAGTGAGGTACTTGCTTTGATTTATATTCACTTGGATTGCACAACTCCTAAAGGCCCAAAAATCACACCAAATGAACCACCCAAAACAGAAAAGAGTGCTAAGGAAGATAGAAGAGTAGAAAGAAAACAAAGTACTGACATTCCTTTGAATTTTTATGTCCTTGACTTAAGTATCTTGGAGTAAAAAATGCTTACACCAAAACGTTCTTTAACACAGTTTTCATAAATCCATACATATATTTGATAAATTTGATAGTTGGTCTACCTCATACATCCTTACTATTCTGTTTTATACTAACATTGTTTAATTGTATGTCTTTTTTAAGGTGTCTTCTTTTACAGTTAATATTCTGAGAACAATTTTCCTTAAAAATGACTCTGGCCATTGGAGTGAAATGATTCTTTTACTGCAGGTGAGTCTTAGCAAGTGAAATCGAGAGATTGTCTCATCATCATGGGTGGGTGGGTGGGTCATGGTTGTGGGTTGTGGGTCTTGTGTGAAGATAATGCAAGATTTTATCACATGTTCAAATGATCCAGATGACGAACAGTGCATTATTTTGTTCCTGTCAGCATGATATAAATCAAATGGTGAGGCTATTTTTTTGTCTGAATGAAAATAATCGGAAAAGTGTGACATCATTGTATCACTTGGATAGTCTGCATTTAATATGGTGAATACCTTTATTACTTCTTGGTTCACATTCCTTTACAGGGATATGCCGTGTTGCCACTCCTTCCAATTTCTTTTCCAATTGTCTGGATTTGTTTAAATCTTTATGGAACAGCTAGAATCAAAGTCTTATTCACTTTTTTAAAAGAAAAAGAAAAGGTAAGGGCAGCTTTCTGGAGATTTTGGCACCAAAATTCTTGATGATACATTGCTGTAAAATTTTAGAAGACTGAGTGCTTGAAGAAATAAAAATTGCTTGGTTTCCAAGAATTTATTGATTAGTCATTGATCAGCTTGATATACATGTAATTATAGAGGAATTACACAAGGGCACAAAAATATGGATTTTACCAGTATTTTTGAGATGTAGAAACACTATTTTATGAATGAGCACAGCAAGTGAGTAAAATATTGTTTTTTACACAATAAAATCAAATCCATATCTTTAAGCTACTGTGTAATTTTCTTTTTTATTATATAGAAAGGCTTATTAGACTTTTTGTCATTTTTAGCTTACAATATAAAGCATGATGTCATAAGCATGTACTGGTACTCTCAGAACTGACATTTAAAGTTCTGCTGGATTGGATTTTCTTCAAATGAAAAAACTTTTAATATAGTAATGTTTCTCAATTGCTTAAAATAAGAAGTAAACTTGACAGGCAAATACTCTGATGAAGGTAGCATGTCATCCACTCAATGGGTAAAGCCTTACAAGCAAAAATGGCAAATGCTAGTAAAATATTTAACTGTTTTTTTTTCTAATGTTAGCCAACAAATGAGATATCTCTGCAAGAAGTGTTCCATTGCTTTTGGAAAAATTTACTGGGAGATCCATCAAGTTTACCAAGAACAGCTAACCTTTTAGAAATCCTTGGAAGTGTTACCGTGAGTGTTTCCATTGTTTTTTCTCTAACTATAAATACTACAACTGTAATATAGTCAGACTACTACTATAATATAGTCAGACCTTTTTAAGTCAACATTGCAACTTTATGTACTTTACTTTCGGAGTGTTGTTGAAAGTTTGCAAGTTCTCTTCTCAAATTCATAAAAATAGTTCATCAAGTTTAAATAAGTAATAATAACAAGGTTTATATTAAACTATAAAAGAAAGACTTGGAAAGGTGACTGATTTTGACCACTTTTCCAAACACCTGGTCCGGGATGTCCGAAAGGCGGATAACAATATCCACCAGATAAATCATTATCCAGTGGATAACGTGGTTTGTTTTGCTAACATTTACCCAGTGGATAGCAATTTATCTGATGGATAACGTTATCCAGCCTTCTAACAACTAGGGCCAGGCGGTTTGTCAGAGATACTTCCCTGCATGTTCTATTTTCAACTCTCTTCTCGGTCACTGTTTGGAAATGTGGTCAAACATGATTTGAACTGTTGTAAACTCAAAGTGGCCAATCTTGTTCTACCTTATATTTTCTGACTTATGTAATCTATTAATTACATTTGGCCTCTGCAGAACCTTCCTTGAGTGGCCACCACCTTAATGAAATGACCATGCATGAAGCTTTTAGAGGTCAAATTTTCTCTTGCACAGACCAGTTACCACAGACTAGAAAAACCTGGTAGTCATGAGTGTCCCTTGTATTCAGCCCCACTGCCTATTGGATGCTTCAATGATTTAAATTCCATTGGAGAGAGATTTCATTGAAATAGTTCTTTTTAACTTAAGGTGTGGTGTTGTGTGGACAAAGAAGGGATACTCTCACTACCCAATCCCTGTGCAGAGAAGGTGTTCTTCCTAAAGAGTCGAAAGCAAAGATTAAAGGAAGAGTTAGCTGGTCAGGTGAAGGAGAGAAAAGAGAGTGTCTGCACTTGGACAAGCGAAACAAGCAGAGTGTCGTCAAGTCAGGATGGCCAAGAATCGATATCTGATGATGAGGATGATGATGATGATATTTCTGCATCTGTTGATGACTCAGAATCTGTTGGTAAGATTTATTATTCACCTGCTGGAAGCATCGTTACCAAAGACCAAGTAGTGCCTAAAAAGAAGCCTATAGCAAGGCTGTGGTCTAAAATTATGAGGAGCCCAAAGGTTCCTGAAATCCTGGTTGCCCAGCACTTAAGCTTATATGAAAAAAGTATTCTAAGTTTTCCAGTTGTCCAAAGGCAAAAGTTAGTCACCTGTGGCGGCCAGGTGTCCCTAGAGAACAGCCCTGCCTTTAGAGACTACAGACAAGAAATATTCAGTTCAGGTCCTATTTGCATACTGGATGTAAAAATGAATTGTGTTTAATTTTTTTCATTTTTCCCTTTTCTCTCCTGGATTTTAGAAGACAATTGGAATAACTGTTTTAAAGGTCACAGAGAAGTGTTAAATTTGTCCTCTGATCCTGAGGTGTGTTTAAAGTAGGCTAAGTAAATGGGCATCTCTTGATAATCAGTATCTTTAAATAAATATAGTTTCCCTGCCTGGGAGAGGTTCAACCCCAAAAAATTGATGCTGACGATCTGAATGTTTCCCTAGTTGATATGCTGCATCCAGCCAAAAGATAAGCAGGTTTATGATATGGCTAGCTCTCCGAACCAAATCCTGCACTGTGACTAGCTACCTTAGTGGGGAAATAAGGGCTTAGTGTTAGGGTTAGGGTTATGCCGTGTAATACATCCTTTATCGACCAGGCTTATTTGGTGGCTGGACACTGGCCTTGTTCTTTTCTAGCGTGTTAATGGACTTAAACTATGTCTTGGTCCATCACCCAGTTATCTTGACCTTACACATGGCCATAACTAATCTATACACCTGTCTAGGACCTGCTACAAATACCTGTGAGGGGGTGACAGTGTTTTGGGAAGACTGGATCATAAATTGTTGATATTCATGTGAAAAATCACATGGATAATCAAACAGAGAGGATAACCGAGGTTTTCCTGAAAGAATTTTTGTTAAGTAAAAGTGAAAGGAGTTAAGCATAGCCACTCATACATTCATTTCTATTGTTTGAGATATAGCTGTAGTTATATGAAGTGGTTTACTTAGTTTTGAAGTGTTGGAATATATATATATTTTAAATGGTTTTTCATTTATATTTTCTGATTGCTTTTGTCATATTCATTGCCATAACAACTTAAGTTTCAAACAAAGGAGAATAAAAATTAAACACTTCAAATCAAAATCTGGTTTAAATTATAGCTTCTGCAACTTCTTTTGAATTGTAGAGTCAGTTTGGGCTGAGATTTGATGATGTGAGATGGCAGAGTCATATCAACTCACTCAAACCCCTGGTAAGTCCCTTGCATTATGTGGAAGTGTTGCTCACAAAACATAATATTTATGGCCAGCAAGCTTCATGCTTGGACCATAAATCAAAAAATTAAACGTAGTTTATATGTATCTACAGTACTCTATGTAGTAATGATAATACCAGATGTAATATTACATTTAATATTATCATTACCACACACTGTAGATACATATCAACTATGTTTAATTTTTTATTGATTTATGGTCCAAGCATGAAGTTAGCTTACTGGTCGTAAATATTATTGATAGGAAAAAATGATGATCCATATCTCACATTATGGATACAAGATGTTTATCATATCTCTCACCCTGGAAAGAGGAAAACATCAAGTGCACAGGAGGTGGCTTGGTGTATTGGTCATAAGTTGACCAGTACACCAAGCTATTTTCCCTATCAATAAACTGATAGGAAAAAACAAAATCCATGTCCTGGGGTGGATCTAAGGGTGGTTCGGGGGTTGGGTTGAACCCCTAAATTAAAAAAAAGTGAGACATTACAATATGCTGGCTGACTGGAATCCCATTTCCGTGAACCTCAATTTTACAAATTTGCCAGGGAAAGATGCCTCCAGAAAAAACCACCTTTGGCGGCCCATATCTCAAACCCCCTTCTATAAGATCTGGTATCTACCCCAGATATCTTACAGTATGGATTTAAGATGTTTATCATATCTCTCACCCTTGAGAGACGAAAACAGCAAGTGCACAGGAAGTGGCTTGGTGTAATATAGAACATTGCACATGAAATTAACCAATCACAGCACACATACTGCCTGGAAGATATAGTAATACATGGTATCATTTGCCAGTGTACTGTTTTTGGTTAAAGAAATATTTATCCTGAGCAAATATCAAGGAGAAACATTGATAATGATTACAACCTTTTTTCTTTCTTTCAGGGCCTAAATATCCTACTTAATTCATGTTGCAAATCTCCTGTGAGATGTCTACGGTTTGCTGACCACACTGGTCTTCTGTCCCTTTCATACAATTCAGTTCCTTTGCCTTCTTACAGAAGGTATTCTTTTGTTAAAATAATAATGATTATATATCTTTTGTTCAAATGTGGGGTATATTTATTGTTGGGGTATATATTTAGTTCTTAAATTGTGCTAACTGGGGAAAGTGTAAATCACTAAACAAAATAATGCAATTACAACTCCTAACTGTTGGAAGGCTTACCAGTTGGCTTTTTTACAAAACTTGGCTAAGAAGTTGAATTGTGGTTCTCCAAGATCAAATCTAGTTAAACAAGGACAGAGAATTTCATCTAGGGGCCTCCAGATTTCTAGTGCAATGTCCTACATTCATTTTCTTTGTTTCTTTACATGTATAATGCATAAAACAGGTGTTTTCTTTTGGTTTTGTTACCTTGTGACTTTCTAGATGCCTTTGTCTTCTTGGCAAAGAAATAGGGTTCATGGAACGTGCACTACAGCTCTTCAACAAACAAAAGTACATCTTTGCTGTGCAGTCACCTATTGTAAGTAGAGTCTTGTAGCTTGTTGTATAGCAGAAATGTTAGGAGGTAAAGGAAACGTTTGCTGTCCTGCCAAAGTGACCCACACAGCCAGAGCTTGTCTCAGTTTCCTCAACACTCAGTGACTAGCAGTATTGGACAGGATGCTAATTTATTGCAGATATCCCCTTTCCCTAATGTTTTGTTAGGTCACCAAACAGTTTGCCAGTACGTACCCAATTACATTTCTGGGTGGGGAGGTGCCCTCATGGCGATAAGAGGAAAGTGTCAAGTCCAAAAATGCAACACATTGACCCTGTCCAACATGTAAATATGACTGACTTGATTCAAAGTGCAAGTGCCAAACAATAGGCCACTGCATCTCTCATAATTATACCAAAAAATGATTCAACAACAGCAACAACAACAACATCTTTTTTTTCTCAATACAATAACAAACGTTAGGTTTTTGAATTAGCCTCCAGCCCACTTATGTCTTTTTGTAGGACAGGAGGGACAAAGAATGAATTTACAGTTCACATTTGATTGACTAATTTCAACGCGTATTGCTCTGACAGTAAATTATGTTTTATTGTTTTTGAAAAAGCAAATATGCTATGATCTTTGAAATGGGTTGTTGAGTTGTGGTTAGTTGTGTTTTGTTATGCTTATTTGTTCTTAGTTGTGCATAATTGTGCTTAGTTGTGCTTAGTTGCCTTCAACTAATGTTTTCGAGAGTTGTTTTTGTCAATGATGTAGGAATAGTTATAGTCTGCTGGAAATTTCCTATAGCTTTGTAAGAATTATTGCTTTCTATTTTTCTCTTACAGAACTCCACTTTCAGAGTTCCCATTCACTCTCACTCATTCTTATCCATTTCAAAAGAAAAGCCAATACCAAACATGATCTGCCTCATTACCAAGGAGGAGCACTCTGGTAGGTTGCTGTGGTAATGAATGGATAAATATATAACTTATCATAAACTTTGTCTTTTAATTTCAAGTACAGAGACTATGATTAACAAGAATCTGGGGTCAGATGAACGATGCTCCCCTAAGCATTGTATCTTAACGGTAGCCTTTTGTATGCAAACATTACTTAGAGGGTCTAACATAGGCTTTTTCATCTCCTGCATCCCACCACTATTTTTGCCTCAATCATGCCATTGCACTCCAGTCTGAATGTTTATCGCAATCTTACCTTGTTAGAGTTTGCAGTTGTCCATTTGACGTCTGTAATGTGTGACTTTCTGTTTTCCTGCATCTCGCCATCAATTTTAAAACTGTTCCATACCCTGCCTGCCAAAATGAGCAAATCCTGCTCCCATTGAAGTATTTTCATCTCTCATTCCGCCTCCCTTTTCGGCTTATCCCACGTCCCGCCAAACCTATGTTGGACCCTCTACTTACGAGATGTCTTTATAAAAAAAATCACACAAGATGAGCTAAAGTTATCCTTTAAACATACAATATTGGCATGATGATTTTTCTATTTCCTGTAGGTTCTTTTCAACTCCTTACCCAGGGATCAGCAGATATCGTTCTTGATGCCTGTAGTGATTTCTGGGATGGATCCAGCCTCTGCCCTGTGACTGCATTTGAGAGGTGAATGTGCTTTATAACTTGACAGATCTGTAAGTTATTGCTAGCTCGGAGGAACCCAATAGGCAATATAAACATCTAATTGTGTTAATAGGGTGGTCATAAGGAAAGCAGGTTTTCACTGAATCTGAAAGTAATTACCAGTTGGCCTGCTGAAATTTCTGTTACTATCAGCATTATCAAGACATTCTTCTCTAGAACTTTGACTACTGCCAAGGCTGTTCATATCTCAGTTACCAATAACATTCATTCTCAAGACTATTCTCACCTTAACTATAAAAGTTCAACAAAGTACCTTTTCTGGGTTAAAATCTCTCTTGCTCACTCATCCTCCTTACCCCCAGAGAGGCACTAAGTGACAACTCTTGTATACCATCCACAGTAAAACATGGAACCTAGTGTACAACATATTTAGAAAGTAAATAATAGTGTAAGATGACCCATCAATTCTCTTATGTGTATGAGTATTTATTATGATATTGTTTGGTTTGTCCTTGATTTCAGGAAGAAAGTCCTTGACTTCTATCAGAGAAACAGTATGTCAGCATATTGTGTTGCATTTGCTTATCGTCCAGTCAGTGAGGTAGGCAATTGATATCTGTATTCTAAGATGCTTATTGACTCTGCGAGACTGCTGAATATATGACGTCCAAGCAATTATGATGTCGATACAGAGAAACTTGGAGAATTAAAGTTTGAAACCATGTTCAATCACCTCATGCAGGGATTAGTATTTTATCATTGATAATAAGCTCTTCCCTGTCATTGATATGCTTGAACATTGTATAAAAGGTCTTAGCGCACAAGATATTGTAAATAGACCAATTTTAATGTATGAAAATTCAGCCTAACACAGACCTCAGCACAAGGCTTCGGGGAATAAACCCCACAAACTCTGTAGTTATTCCCCAGAGCCTCGTACTGGGGTCTATTGTTTTAGGCTGNGTATGAAAATTCAGCCTAACACAGACCTCAGCACAAGGCTTCGGGGAATAAACCCCACAAACTCTGTAGTTATTCCCCAGAGCCTCGTACTGGGGTCTATTGTTTTAGGCTGAATTTTAAGATGCTTTCAGCATAACATTCGAGCAATAATTGCAAAAATTAAGTTACCGAAAAAACCTAATGGCATGGTAATATTTTGAACACAGTTAAGAAGAACTTATCAAGACTTTAGCTCTCAAGGTGATCCCGCAAGAGAAAATTGAACTTGAAGTTATCCATATTTCAATTAAAACAGACATTTCATGTTGGTTAAAAACACAATACTGTAACACACGCTCTAAGCATTCTTACAAGGTTTGACATTAACTTTCTCGAGAATGCTTGAGAATTTAATCACGGGGTCACTTAGATAAATGAACTAAAGTGAGTTGTTTCAAGTAGTATTCCAAAAGTTACCGTGTTATGAGTAGATTTTTAGTAAATAATATTTGCACTTACTGCTTGAACTTTGAGCAGAATCCATCTTAGTATATCGAAATAGGTCTATTGTATGTGAACTTAAATAAGTGGCTGACATATAGTATAGTGGTTGGTACATCTACTCTAGGTGATAGGGGTGTTGTTACCTCTTTGGACATTTTGTTTAATGTTGAGCTCTCACAGTACATTAAGGTAATGAAATTTTTGGTTTGTTAGCTTTTCTACCTTTCTGCTTGACAAAGTTTGTGTGGATGAAATGGTTGAACAGATCTGAACAGTGTCATTATTTGCTAACATCCCAGCAGTGGAATATTTAATTAGCACAACGCTAACTTGGCCTCAAATGTGACTGACTGTCATTATCATGATCTGTTTACATGCTTCCTGAGGGAAAACAAACATTTAAATCTGTTGTGTGGACAAGCATAGTCATAATCATTTTAAATCATTAATCATTTTGTGGTTTATTGATCTTGGTTGATTATTTGTTGAATTTATTAGTAAGAGTGGAACCTTAATGCTGGGATTTGTGGGATTTAATAAGCTTCCATAGACTTGGCATACATTACAGCACATGGAGTTGGATTGGCTGAAATGCAATGGTGTTGTAGTGATGTGATTGCAAAAGAATTAGTGTAGCTATGTAGAGTGGGGTGAAATTTTAGCTTTTTGTATTTTTTGTATCCTGCTATGACCCCTTACAACTAATGCAAAAAAATTTAACTAGCTGCAACCTGTGCCTGATGTAAATTTACTTTGTAAATGGTCATTGACAGAACTGTATAAAGTAAAAATGCCTTATTCAACTATTGAAAAGAGTTACCTTAATTGTTCTTGTTTTAGCAGATACCAGAAGAAAATAGTGAAGATGTGTATTTAGACTTACCCTCTTCATCTCAGTGGATTGGCAGTGAGAGTGATGAAGTAGAAAGGTTTATGAACATTTTTGTGAATTTGATAGCTGTTTTCCAGGATTTTCCATTGCACACAGTAGAATACCATAAGATTAATCCTTGAGGAAGTGGGGCTGAAATGGTTTTGACTTCAACTTGTTATCTTAGTAATTAACGCAATTTGTGTAAGATCTTGTGAAGCTAGGGATCAGGGACGGGGGGCTAGGGAGGAATATAGAACCTTAAATACTTTGTGGTTTAAAGGGAATCTCAACTGAAAAGCAGTTTAAGTTCCAAAGTATGCTTCATGGTTATCTAACTGATCCTGGAGATTTAAGTTGATTTCTTTGTAAGTGGATGGAGAGAGAGCTCAATATAGAGTCTACAGAAGAAGATTTCTTTACATGTTCATCTGGAATATGAATTATCAATGAAGAATGATAACTTCGAGCAAGTTATATTTCTAAACTAACACAATGCTTTATTTTAAAAGTCCAACCCCACAATGATATCATAATTTCCCATCCATCTTTGCAAAATTAAGCATGGGAATGATGGTCCAAGAGACATTTAAATCCTAAATAGCACAAGTTTTGCACCCAGTAATCAAAAAGGATTATCAACTTCAATTTACTTAAACCATTAACACAAACAACAACTTGTGATTTGATGAAACAAAACTTTAGCCAAGATTCCCTTTCACTATGTTGAACTTGAAAAGGATATTTATCAGTCAGTTTCACAAGATACTTGCAAAGAAAGATTCCTGAATTCTCCTGACAGAAGTCAAGCCTATGACCTTCTTCACGCTAATCAGATGCTCCATAACTGATGCTCCACCACAGCAAACTCAAACTTTATAAGAATTAATAAAAAAGTTGACAAACTGCTAGGAGTTACTAGCGATCAACTAAGAAGTATTGGAAATGCTGCTAGCTGCCACTAATACTATGGATGATGCCACATGGCTTTGAACAGAGTTTACTTTTACCAAATGAGCACCACACTTACATGTTTTCAAACAATATGCCTCTTTTCATTGCAGTGTCTCTGAAATTTCAGAAGAAGAAACAGACAACCTAGGCAGGGATGATGCTTTTGTAAGTAACATGCCTTCTGTTTTTTGTTACCAGTCTGTTGACCAGCATCAGCTTATAGACTTTCCTTGTTTTGGATATCTCAGTGCATAGTATGGCATCCAAGCATGGAAGATATTTTATCTTATTTAAAACTGAATCATTAGATAATGCAATTTGAGAGTTTTCATTGGCATAGCCATCATGGGTTATGAGCCGTTATACCATGCTTCACAAATATGGTAAGCGTATGCATGACTTTTTTGGGCATTATAGTATTTATTTTGTTTTAGTTTTCTTTATTTTGGGGGCGTTTTTAATAAAACAATTATACCACTTGTGCTTGTTGGATATGAGATCATTATAGGCTATCCATCATCTCATATCCAATGCACCCTTTTGGAATAATTGTTAAATATACCCATATGTTGCAAAATAATAATAATATTAATAATACTAATACTAATGCTAATGCTAATGCTAATGCTAATACTAATACTAATACTTAACAATTAGACCCATAGTCAGCAAGGGCTGCGGGTCAATAGCCAGCAAGGGCCATGGGTCAATAGCCCATGAGGCGAAGCTGAATGGGCTATAGACCTGTGGCCCTTGAGGGCGAAGGGTGTAATTGTTTTAATATCACCCAACTAGTTGGACAGAAAAGGCAATAATAAAGTTAGCAAATGCAAGTTGAAGAAATATTTATTTGGGAATGAAACGAAAGAAAGCATCACGCTTGATTGCGCCAATTTCGCCACTCAAGGACTATTACTAATAGTCCTCTAGTAGCGTAGCCAATCAAACTGCAGGATTTGCATTAGTCCACTAGTTGGGTGATACTAATAATACTTATACTTATACTTATACTTATACTTATACTTATACTTATACTTATACTTATACTTATACTTATACTAACACTGACACTAACACTAATAATAATAATAATAATAATAATAATAATAATAATGATAATAATAATAACTTTATAAGGCCCATTAAATCTAGAAGCTCTACTGAATGGTCCCTATCACAGGCTTGTATTTCAGCTGCTGGAGAGCAGTGTAGGTGTCTGTCAGTAAGTCATATTGCTCATCTTACTAGCAATAGGAAGCTTTAGAGGAGGGTTGCAGTCATCTGTGTTGAAGCCAAATGATGATGAGTTGTTTTTACACATATATGTAGATGGACGGTATAAATGCATATTTAATTTAAGAGCTGTTCATGTTGTACAGGCACTGTGTTGACACTGACATTTTGTTTCAAGAAAGTTAATATAGTAAGGTAAAATATATTTTAAGGTGTATCTGACCCATTTAATATTCTGACCAGTATATAGTGCTACTAGACATGTTTGATATGTTGTTTTAAACTATAGAACGTCACCGATGAGCTTCTTCATACAGATGTGGATGCAGCATCACTATTAGACAAAGTGAACATAGCTGAAAATGTAGACGGCTATCAAAGGTACTTTTGGTATCAAAGTTTCCTTTCATAGTTTGTAACTACAGCAGCTCAAACTGTAAACAGTGGTTAACTTAGTTTCTAGCTTCAGGGTCTTCAAAAAGTCCTCTTGAGCTTTCTTAATAATATTATTTTTGACCCTGGAGTAGATGCAGGCAGATCCATACAACTCATTTTGCAGCTGTATGAATCTTGCACTATTCATGCCAGGTTCCATTCTCCTGTACCATTTTTCCTTGGCTTCCTCTTATAAATATCTTTTCACATTCATAATTTCTTCTTTCCCCTTGAAATCTGAGTGTGCCAATTTATGCATGGAAACTGCACAGTAGTAGCCCCTCTGCCTCACCTTGCTCTGTCCCCTGCTAGCTGGCCTCTGCAGTCGATTCCATATGAAGCTGAAACTTCACTTGTATTGTCGTGTTATTTTAGCCTCAGTCTTCCTCTTAATATTTTAGATTTGATTTCATTGTTTTGTGTGTTTATTGACTGATAAGTTGTTCCTGTTTATTTAACTCAATGAAAGGTTTTGATTTTTCTAAACAGAATACTTGGGGGACAAATTTTCATTGGAGCAGTGACATTACAGTTTCAAGCTAAGAAGGTTTGTTAACAAGAGATTATTTCATTCTAAAAGGCCATAAATTTCTAATTTTTGTAGTTCTCCAAGCTCTGTTATTTGCAATGATTAATACATAATTTCACTCCCAGTGTGATATCAGTTTATTAAGAACAAATGCTGATGCTTTTCCTATGGTACATTGATAATAGACTGAATGAGTCAGTGCTGCTCTATATGGTGTAGAATTTTAAGTTTACTTAGTAACTTAAGTGAAAGGTTTAGCAACTATTTTCAATGAAAGTCATTGATCATGAAATTCAAGCCAATAGCCAATGGAAGTAAAGTTTTTATTGGTGACATGAGTTAGTGAGGGGGCTAATGGTCAGTTAGTCAGTCAGTCAGTCAGTCAGTCAGTCAGTCAGTCAGTCAGTCAGTCAGTCAGTCATTTTCTCTTTTAAAAAACCCCTTTAATACAGCCAACCCATAAACATGACCAGACTTTTGTGGCCCATTGGTAACTGGATTAATGAGGCTTCAAACTTTATGATCTGATTTTTTTGTTCGCTATTTTGGCTCAACTGCAGATTTTAATGCTGCTTGACTTCCTACATGGCATTTGTAGGGTTTCCTCCAAAGTTGATGTTTCTGTGTGCATAAAATCCCTGTGTACCCCTTGCTGTTACTGTTTGTGCTGTTACTGTTACTTTAAAAGTGGTTTGATCCATCTTTGGAACATTTTAATTGTTTCAGGATATACTTCCTCTCATTGAAGACCTAAACAATGCTGGGATCCGGTTTGTGTATTTCTCAGCTGAAAATGAAGTGAGAAGTAGGGTGAGACGTTTTTCATCACTTGTTGAACTTGTTCAATTAAATTGTAATGTCTGTGTTGAAGCCCTGTCGTCACCAAAATGCAAAATTGAGATTCTGGGAAAAGCATGGTACGTTCATAGGGATCAAACGTTTAATTTTATGTGACTAAATATTGAGTTTTGACAACTGGTGAAATTGTTAGAGATATATCCATTGTTGCTTGTTACAGCCAACAGATCTGGGTTATGAGAAGAAAATTATCAAAAAACAACAAGAGCATTGAAGAGGTGTCATGTACAGCTCTCTGTCTCCTTTACTCTAGTAGACCACAGTCCCTCAATGATATTTTTTACAATAACTGTCTAATTTCTTGCGTGCTGATTGGCTCATTTTTATCATCAATAAGAGTACAGACGAATAATATTTTAATTTATGCAAGCTTTCAAGTTCAACTTTCAACTCTCGAACTGTCAACTTTTTAACCAATGAGATTTTATGCACTTTCAAAAAGCGTGAAAAGCTATTGACAATGTTCGCATAATTTTGAATAAAATTCAGTTATCTTTGTTTACAGCAAGTTTACAGCGTCTTTTCCCCTCATTTATTTCTGGCATTTGACCATTTTGGGGTCTTGTTATTATAAAAACAAATTGACGTCAGTTTTTTATACGAATAATTGATGAATAATTGATGATAAATTTTGTCATAACATTGTCAAAGTTTACTGTGGAACCACTCGCCTGCAGCTCATGGTTCAACAGCCACTTTGACAATGTTATGATACAATTTATCATCAATAAGAGGACAGACGCATAAAAAAACTGACGTCAATTTGTTAAATTGCTCACTGATCCTAGATTGTGTTCACCACATTGTGACCCTAATTGGCTCGGTTCTTGTTCATTTCACCAGTAAATGAAGGAGAAAGAAGCAAACACCTTAAAATTCCAATAGTACCTCTTCCTCCACTTCTTGAAAATAAACCCCTTGCACAAGCCTTTTGGATGAAAATAAGTCCAGGGCTTTTTATCAGAATTTTACAGTAGAGTAACATCGGCATTTTTTTGTCACTATTATAAAAATATTTGGATTCAAACTGATAACAAGAACAGCAGCCCGTTAATGCTCAAACTGCATGTGTTGGTTTTTATATACTCAAAATATAGGAGGATAAAATATAAATCTAATGGAATGTTTGGTTCCATTAGGTATTTGCTGAAAGAATGGGGCTCGAGGCAGGGTGGAACTGTCACATCTCTCTAAGAGAGGGCAGTCATCTATTAGAGGATCGTGGCAGTAGTGCAACAGTATCAGAGAGAAATACAGAGAGTCTTTATGACATTCAGGATGATGTAAACGTCACTGGACAGGATGGAGATGAAAAACATGTGAGCTGGTGGGGAGTTCAGGGTGATTCAGTTGAAAAAGGTAATGTAAGCTTCTTTGGGTGAGGGGTTATAGTTAAAGGGTTGCTTTGTTTCTAATGATGGATTAAAGACATGATTGAAGTTGGAAACTGAATTGCTCCTTGTATATTTTGGTTCTAAGCATGAAAACTGCGAAGTAAGTAAATTAACCCATTAATCAACAAAGGACTTTGCTCTGGGAGTGAAGGGGGTATCATGATCTAAAAACTTGTAAGTGGCTTACTCACAACCATAGGCAAAGGAGTTAAAATCCATGCTAAAGCCAACAAAACAGAAGCAGAAACCTAACACAAAGCTTGGTCAATGTTGTATACAAATGTCTTATTAGGTGCTGTCCCCTATTTTAATGTTGGACCCTTATCTGTGAAGATGTTTGTGAAACATTTGACGGCTCAACTTTAGGATGAGGAAAGGGAAAGAAAAGAAGAAATTTGCTAACTGTGCAAACACTTTTGGGCTGGAGTGGGTTAATAGATGGACACTCTATTGTTACGTACAGTTCTTTGTATTTTGTACTTTCTGTGTTGAAAGGCCATAATCTACTCTGCCAATGTTTTTCCTTTGTATGTTCATAATTTCCTATCTTGATCTTTCCAAACCAAGAAAAATAACCCAAACATATCCACAAGACACTAGGAACTATTTGTCATGCATAACAAAATATGCAATGTATTTGGACCGCAAGTCCACGACAATGGAAGAAAATTGTTAAATTGCATTAATTAAATTTGGTAGAATTCTGAACAGTAAGGATTAACCTTACCCTCAATTGTAGCCTTAAATTCTTCCAGAGCCTCTAATTTTCACTTGTGCTCCATGCAAAGAATGAAGGTTTCCCAGTTGTCATGAAAAGATAATTCACAATAAAAGGGTCTTAGTCTTATAAAAAGAAATTTGAACCTTCATTTTTCAACTTTCATTGGCTGATTTGGGAGTTCCATCTTGTTATAGTGCTTGGTTAACGGACACAAGTATGGATACCCCATGTTGGAGAAGATAAAGAAGAACTAAGAAGTGTTTAGGTTAAGTGTATTTTCTATCATTTAATGAGCTGATTTTTTCAACTGCATGTTTATTATCCTTTCATGCTTGTTTCCAGTTTCTAATAAAGCTGAAGCAGCTGAAGTGGATCCCTTACTAGAAAGTCAAAGTGATGGCGGCACTCTGATGGGTAGCAGTCAGATATCAGCACCTGAGGATTATTGGTTCTTTGCAAACAGGGTAATAGTGTGGTGTGGGATAAGTAAAGACAACAGACTTGTGGCCTGGCAGACCTGCATAGTTTGGTTTACAGTGTGTTGGTTTGGAAAGTTACACATCTAGAACATCTGCAAGTAGTAGGTCAGCTTGTCTGCAAGTTTGTAGTCTGCACTGAACTCCACTAATATCACAAAAGGGAATTTTCTATGCTGTTTAAACCTGGGCCCAGTTGTTCAAAGGATGGATAAAACTATCCACAAAAGAAATCACTCTCTAGTGGTTAGCACATNGAGATGATTTCTATCATGCAAGACTATGGAGAAGTTGTTTGTTGTGTGGGGAGTTCGTTTAATTCGGCCAACCCTGCTATATTTATCCAAGCAGACATAAGGTGAGTGCAAGTGTTGTAAAACCAGTTCACATGCTCGTTACTTTATTAGGGCCTTGTTATGGCTGTACTTCCAAATATTTCAAACAACGTCTTCCTCTATCCTCTAATGGTCAATTTGGAGCTTGTAACCTTATTAAGTTATAACAGATATGTTCAGAAAAACTTCAAACGAATGCTTCTCACTTCCTTTAATGGATGAGTCAGATTTCTTCAGTCTGTTTTCCGTTACAAAAGGTTTGTTCCTAAACTTTTCATTTGACTTCTCACTTTTTTAAACAGTCAAGTGATTGCTTCTCACATTGTAACATTTATTAATACAGCTTTTACAAATACTTAGAAACTATTCAGGGGAAGTGAAGGAAAAAAATACAGGTTCCCATTCTGGGCATGGTATACAGTAAACTGAAACCAACATGTAAGAAACTACATTTTTGAAGTCTGGCAAAATAGGTTCTTTTATTTTGGGGTAGTTAGGTTCTTTATTGAAGGAGATATAGTTGTTCATCACCAGAAAAATAAATAAACTTGGGTTTGGTCCTTGAACATACAGTGTATTTGTTCACAATGTTAACCTGTCTGGTCTTGCTTGGCTAAGCAGGTTCTTATGTTTTTGCGTATTGAAATGGCAAATTTCTGCCAGCAGGTTCTTAAACCACTAGGTTCTTAAACACGGCTTTTTACTGTATCATTTCAAACAACTAAATTCCAGACGTGTTTTTTTTGTGCGGCGATGTCGTTGAAAGAAAAGCTAAGATTTCTCATGAGAAAATGTTAAGATTAACTAATATGTGAGCTGTGCTGATATTGTTATCTTAAATTATTTAGTATTGCAGTGGAACCGCTCTTCCCTCAGCTATGCTTAAAAGGCCTACCAAAAGATTTCCGATCAGGAACTCCGAAACTTGGACATGAAAATACTAGAGAAAAACTCCATAGAAGGTTCAGTGATGAACAGTCCACTGAGGAAGAAAGTGGTAAGTAAGCTTATGATAATGGATGTAACTGGGGGAGGGACATAAAATAGAATAGTTTCAGACTTAAATTTAACCAGAATTATCTCTTACATAAACTGTGGGTCCAGTTAAAGTCAATAGGCAATTTCCGAATTACCTTTAGCCTCTCCGAATTAGCCTCTTTCTCAAAGCGAATCTTGGCGCCCATCCTTTCACATGAAAATGGTTGCTGTTACTGTTACTGTTACCGTTACCATTACTGTTACCGTTTCTGTTAATGATCTTTGTCTTTACCTCAAGTGTACACTTTTTTATTCTCTGCCCAAGTACTAACCAGTATTTACCTCATTGTATTTCCTGCAGAGCTTTCTCCACTTGAGCTGAGTGCATTTCTTAATGCCCTGCCATGTTCACTGGCATTCCACAGAGATGCAAGTTTTGAATTTAAGGATCTAATAAAAGAGGTGCTAAAAAGTAGCAACAAACCTTTCTCCAAACAACTGTTTAGAAATTGGCAATAATAAATACTAATGACAGCAGAAGTAAAATTCAGAAAAATAAGCTGCTGATTAGTACATTACTGTTGCTGAAAGTTTGGCACTGTCCACACTATGCCAGAGGAGTTTAAAGATGGAGGTTCATTTCTCATTTCTATGGTTAGGCCTACTGTTCACACACTAATCCATCACAAAAATGGGGCTTTTTGAAAATGGTCTTCAAACCAGAGGTATTTGAAAATGCCGGCTTTTGTTGGGCACAACGTGTTGCACAGGTTTGGCCACCCTGTTGCGACATGCTGCAACGTGTTGGGTGTTGTTGGAAATGATGTGGTCACTATAATCATGGGATTTCCCAGACTGAATTTTCATCTAACAAATCTAAAACAGCTAGTGATTGTTGCATTTTTAAATTCCTCCGGTGTAGTGTGGGCAGAAAACATTTAATATATATTTTCATAGTGAAAGATCCGTTTTCAAATTCCTTCGGCATAGTGTGGAAAGGGCCTCAATACTCTTTGATAAAACTCAGTTATTTACGTGCAATGAAATATCTAAGCATACTCTAGGAATCAAGTTGACTCATAGGTTTAAATCAGTGTCTGTCTGACTGTGTGGGAATTAAGTACTATTTTAAACCATCACATGAAACACGGTACCATACTTGTTTCATGGATAGTAAAAGCGACCACTTTCAACAAAAAAATGCCTTTTTACTTTGCAGGCACGCCGACTGTGCTTTGGACTCAGAAACTGCTTTTCCTTTATGCTTTCCTGTCAGTTAGTACTATCTGCCGTGATGTTCCTATCATCATGTTTTCTCCTTCCACCACCCTTCACAGGCCTTCATCTGCTGTGGTTGTCTTGCCTTATAGTCCCCCTGTTGAGTCTGTCTTTGATTGGTTCACCAGCTGATCAAGGTCTCATGACAATGATAACAGGCAAAAATGACAGAAACTTCAAAGTAAGTAACCCAAGTTTGTAAATTTAACTGTAACAAGATCTACAACCACCATCCTCGGAAAGAAATCAAATCAATGAAACTATTAATTGTATTCTCACAAATACATGTACAGCTCAGCTCTGTTGACCCTCTTTCTGTCATGACTGGCCAGTTGTTGCACTTGCTTATACATGTACATGTGTACACAATTTATACACAATAGGACCCCGCTAATTCATACCTGGTTATTTCAAACTAAAAACCATTTCCCTTGTATTTGCCCTTCAGTCATTTACTACTGGCTATTTCGAACTCCTGTTATGTTGAATTATTTTTCATTTCCCCAGGAAGTTCGAAATAGCAGGGTTCAACTGTATTACTAACAGTATTTATTTATTGATAGGTTTATTGCCAGTGAAAAATAACCCAAAAAGCAGTTTATCAATACGTTTATTTACCATCGACACTATTTTCAAATGTTATTTTAGTAAGAAGTTCTCCTCACTCATTCATTGCTGTTTTTCCTTTTTAGGATATCACACATACAGTTTGCTTCTTCTTCAGTGTGTGTTTTGTTCCCTCCATTTGTATCTGCTGTTTTGTTCTTTTCCCTTTAAATCTTCATGGAATTTGCTTGTCTCGGAACCAGAAATCTACCAGCTGTCACTTCCTCTTTGGATTCAGGTAACAATGAGATTATAGAGTAACTTTAGTAAGCAGTTTTGGTAGTTGGTGCTAGTTTTGTTTGTCATACAATTTGCAAAACATTTGCACATATCTGTAAATTCTGGCTCTTCAGCGTGTTGAAAATATATTTGTTACTGCATAATTTACAGTGCTACATTTTTGGAAGACCCT